CCATGACAGGGGCTCTATAACTACCTCCCCCATTTCCAGATCATTCTGCCACTGGCCAGAGATAAAAATTAGATCTAGTGTGTGTCCCCCCACGTGAGTGGGGGCATGTACCAACTGGGTCAAGTCCAAGGCCGTCATGGAAGCCAAGAACTCCTGAGCTGCCGCCGACGCCTCGCCCGCCGATGGCAGGTTGAAATCCTCGCCCGCCGATGGCAGGTTGAGTGCTATTTGATGCCTCAAATCTACCAAAAAATGTATTCAGTTTGTTTAGGAAGTCTGTGTCGTCCTTGCATCTTGATGGGGTCACCTTGTAATCCGTAATGGCCTGGATTCCTTTCCACATTCACCCGGTGTTTTTTGGGTCCTGAAAAAAGTTCTGAATTTTCTGGCAATAGGCTTGCTTTGCACCTTTTATGGCACTTTTCAGATTTGCTCTGGCCTAAGTGCCAGCATGTCACCAGATTTAAAAGCTGCATTCCGTGCTTTCGGCATCTTGTGGACCTCACAAGTCAGACACGGTTTTTCATTCGCCCTCACAACAATGCTTTTCAGGACACAGACATCTTCTATGCACGTTTGGATATATGCAGACACCATAGTGGCATATTCCTCAACATTTGTATGTTGGTTATCAGTTGCTGCTTCTTTAAACATGCCCCAATCCGTGCACTCAAAGCAGTCTTGTAATGCTTCTATAGCTCCCTCTGTCCAAACCCTCACCTGCTTTACTGTAGGTTTCACTCTGACTAATAAAGGTTTATATACTGGAATAAGCAGTACTGAGAGATGATCAGAGGGGCCCAGGTGAGGGCGGGGGATAGCTTTGAAAGCCTTCTTGATGTTGGAATAAGCAAGATCCAGTGTATTGACCCCTCTGGTTGCAAAGTCCACATATTGATGGAAATGTGGCAGAGTAGTTTTCAAATCAACTTGATTAAAGTCCCCCACTGCAATAAACACACCCTCTGAGTGAGTAGTTTGTAAGTCACTGATGGTATGACAGAGAACCTTCAGGGCCTCTCCTCTGTTTGCATTAGGGGGGGATATACACAGCTGTGATAATGGTAATAGAGAATTCTCTAGGCAGATAGAAGGGTCTGCATTTGATGGTCAGAAGCTCCACATCTGGGGAGCACAGACTTGAAACCACCTTGGCATTATTATACCATCTGTCATTTATATAAAAACAGTTTCCTTCTCTGCTTTTGGGGAGATAAAGTTGTCTGCTAGGTTTGACGGTACAAATCTGACTGCTGCGGACAGAGAAGGCGGTAGTGAATTCCATAGATGTGAGGACTTACTGCAAAATAATGTATGATGAACTCAGGCATAATCTTGAAGATACTGATTTCTTTGGCCAGTTTAGTTCATTTCTACCGATCAGCAAAGGGAAGATCTCATATAAATCAAATTACATTTTAGAATTGTGTAAAAACCAGAAAAAATGTCTGAGACAAAGCCTGCCCTAGAGTGTTTCTTTCCCTCCCTCCCTATCTGCAAATGGGAAAACAGAATTTGGAGTTATTTCAGTAGATGCCAACTGTTTATTTAGTCATTTAGTCATATTATTTTATTTAATAATAACAGCCAGGCAACATTCTGTAACTGAATTAGGTGCCATACAATTGGTTTTAAATTGAGGGAACAAAGTTTATGGACGCTCTTTTACTCAATATCTCGTGAATCTATTATCAGCAGGAATAGAATGTCTGTATAGATTAATATTGTAGTCAGGGTAAAGCATATTTCACTATGAAAAGCAGAAGAAAAACAAATACATGTATTAGGCTGTCCTTTAAGCTGTATAGAAATATCAGTGATTAATGTGAATAGGTTCTTATATTGAACAAAGGCAAGCTAAAATATTAGTGATTTCTTCAAACTACTCTTAATTTCTTCGCAGTGCATTTCAAAATAGCAGTAGATTACAATTAAAAGATGCCAAGATTTAGCCTAAGCATTTTAGAATTTGTTCTAAAACTGCTATATAATTTAGCATATTTTTATTTTGTCTTTTTTTCCTCAGATGAAACCTATAGCGTAAGAATTGAGGCTGCAGTGAGATTCTGTTCATTTTCTCTGCCAGAAAACTACTATTTTACAGTCGTGATAGCTATTTAAAAACTTGCTTGTTTTCATGAGTGAGCAGGGAAACTAGGACCGAAATCATCCTGAAGATAAGAATATGTCTCAGGTCTCTTATAAGGGAACCATGCTTGTTTCCTCTGCATTATTTGTGGCAGTACCACTTTTGGAGCCATTTTCATCAGTTGTATGCCACTGTCTTGTAACTTGATGTTTAACACAACAATTATTTTTTAGAACTTTTGCTAAGTTCTTTCTAAACTTCTCACCAATAAAGACATAGAGAACTGGGTTGAGGCAACCATGGAAATAAGCAATTGCTTCTGTGATGATCAAAGCATATTCAAACCTGTAGTTGAGCATGATATTACGGTCTGAGGCCCGCATGAGTTTCAAAAGGTTGTAGGGCATTTGTGTCAAAATGAAAGTTACAATAATAGCAAATATTATTTGTAAGGATTTGTGCTTGTGGAAGCCCTTAGCACTGAGTAAAGTTTTTACAATGATTGAATAGCATATAATCATGAAGAGCATAGGACAGAAGAATCCAAGTGTCATCTGAATTGTTTCGGTGAACAGCTCAATAGATGGGGAAGCATAATTTGCAAAACATATCTTTTTGTCTAACTTTTCCTCTGTACTGAAGATGAACTGTGGCAAAGCAAGCAGCAGAGAGATTATCCAAATTGAAATACAGACCACAATACCCCAGAATCTTCTTTTGTGTTGACTGATATGAGTTTTGGTCGCTTGCACAATTACAAAATATCTGTCAACAGTTATAGAAGTGAGAGTTAACATAGAACCATAGAGATTCAAGGTGTAAAAACCAAGGATGATTTGACATGGGAGAGTATAAAAGACCCACTCTTCTGCAGCAGAATAAGCCCAGAAGGGCAGCGTGCAAAGAAAGCTGAAATCAGCAATAGCCAGGCTCACTAAAAATATGTCTGTAAGCATTTTCACTTTTTTGTAAAAAACCAGAATGATGATAACCAAAGAGTTTCCTGTCACTCCAAAGATGCAGGCAAATGAATACATGCAGACAAGGAAAACTCGCTTGAACTCCAAAAAGGTTTCATATGAGTAACTTTCATCAGAAGTGTTGTTGCTAAGAAATGCATAGTAATCATCTTCTTCCATGTTTGCGTTCCTTCCTTTAATACCTGTAAGAATATATATTGGAAAATGGTTCACATGATAAATCTACAATGCAATTTTCCCTATTTATTACTGGGAAGTTTCTGTCATGCTTCACCAGCTTGGAGATGCAGAGATGGCAATTGCAGTCTAGATACAGGTGGGAATTATCAGACTGGGGAAGGCTGCTACAGTTCTTCATTTTAATTTCCTTAGTTTGAGAGTGTATAGTTGTATCGGACTACTTTATAACAAAAACATTCATATAATAGTATTAACAATGTAAAGCAACACTAAAATAATGATATTTGAAGAAAATAAAAAGAAAGAAAAGATTACATCATAAATTACCTCTGTTTTCCAAGAGGAAACTATTCAGAAGTCTTCTTTTTTGTCCTCTGTTAAAAAAAATAAAGAATGTGGTGTTTACAATGGCAGATCGCATTGGATCTTTCCAATTATGTCACATTCAGCCCTGAATCCAAAAAGTTCACAATTGTTAATGGCTTGTTAAATTTCACATATAGGAAACATAGGCAAAAAGATTATATGCAGTTTTAATACGATTATTAATTGTATTAATTGATCCAAATCATGTTAACAATCCTATTGATTTTAGCCCCATATGTGACAAAGAGTAGAATAAATAAAAACCATTTAAGTTTCCAATTTTGAAATTGCCCTTCAATAATAAGGCAATAGAAGCCAACTCTTATTAAACATTCTCTGAAATGTACAAAACATACAAAATATTTTTACTATTAAGATCAAAGGAAATTGCATACTTTGAATAACAGCCTTTGACCAGTTAATCTTAATAAACTATTTCCAAAGATAGCATGAAGTCAGCTTCTTCAGATCTTTGAACATGTTAAAACATAATTTATGGGCTTATAAATTTCACTTGAATTCTCTAAAATCTAGAAATTCAAAAGCAATAATGGCATCATAACCAAAGAGTCCAATTATCAAGTATTTCAGTTAAAAAGTAATATAAATCAAACTTTTTGTTTGATTCTATAGAAGTTTTAAAAGCAGTTTCCCCAGAACTGAATTGATTCAAAATGCTAATATCTTGAATCCCCAGTGTGTCCAGAAAATAGATTATTCACTTTTTAAAATCTATGTTTTATGGCTGTAATCATAGGTAAAATTTAGTTTCATAAAAGGAACCAACAATCATCAACCCAAGACACAATCTGAACCTTCATAGTGAAATATGTTTCTACTATATTAATTCTGAATTAAGGTATGAGATCATGCAGCTGATCAAGTATGTGTAAGTACATAATAATTGTATTATGCACTTATATATACATCAGTATACATAAGTAAAAGCCACAAAAAAAGTACGTAGTCATCCAGTAAGGATTTTCAGGTGGTTAAAAAGAAGCTGAAGAAATGATTTACTGAAGAGAGTATTTATAGTTCAGGGTTGAAAAATTATTTACATAGATATAAACAACAACTCTAAAACTTTAAAGCAAAGTATAAATATCTAAATACTAGTCGGGGGGAAATGAAGGGGAGAATGCAGTGTTGAATACTTCATTTGACAATTATACTTTAATTATGTTTTTATCTTTTGGTATCTTTATTTTTGATCTACTTTTATAAAACTCATCAAATACTTTAAGAATAAGTAAAACAAAATAAGAATACCATTTTTAAGTTGAATATGCATAATAATCATAGGAAGATGGAGTTAACTGATGATTTATGGCATCTTTTGATAATAATGCTTGGATTTGTTTGTTCTCCTTTTGCAAATAAATACATTGCAGTACTGATGCATTTTTACAGCCAATATTCTTTGAAAAGAAAATGAGTCAGTTATTTAAAAGCTGTAGAAGTGGATATATGAAAAGTGAGATTTAAGAATGTGGGATTTATAAAAAATAAAAGCAATCTACTTTTTAAAATACAACATATTTGAAGAAGTACAGTATATACACTTTTCAACATCATTCTTTTAAAAGTTGGTGACTTATCTAACTTATTTCCTTATATATAAATATTTTAAATGTAAATCTGACAGAGATAACAGCTTACCTTGCAATGGTACAACCTTATCTTGTTTAATATCAGGCAGGGCATGAAGGCGACATTTGAGGTAACCATATATATATTTATTTGTTACCATGTGCTTCCTGTACAATTTTACAGGAAAAGAAATTAGGTTGCTTATGCATCTGGTTTATCATTAAATATCTCTGATTTGAATAACACAGCTAATTGTGGGAAAATATATTTGTGTTTGGGTATTTGTATCGTGATATAATTAAATTGTTGTGTACATTTTCTTGTATGATCTTATTGGAAGTATAAACAAATTATGTTACTGAGGTTCAAATAAGAAATACTGGTTTGGACAAATTTAAAATATTGGTTTTATCTAGGTAATACCTATATAATTTTGAAGATGTTGCAAAAAGTAATGCTTTTTTTAAGTGTGCCTTAACTTCTCAAAACATCCCCAATACAGTGAATTGCTTTCCTCAAGAAGCATGAGTAGCTTATGACTATTTGGAGGAAAAGATACAAATGTGTCTATTGTCAGCATCCTTACTGGTCCCTAGCCTCCTCAGACATGACAGAAAGACAGTGTGACTGGCACACAGGAACGCTTCAACAAATGCTTTAATCCAACAATTCGCAAACAATGTCAGCGCTGGGAGTGCTTTGCTCCCAGTGCATTAAATACCTTCCCTCCCTGCAGCTCCATCCCCCCTACACAGCAGGCCAGCATCCGGTGTTTGTCTTTAAAGGCAGCCAGGTTTCCCCTGGCCTGCTGTCTTGTCTGCTGGTTGGCGTTGCGCAGTGGAGTGTTGGAGCCGTTCTCTGTTCCGGTAAGCCTCCACTTCACCCTCAGACACCCCCGCGGTCCTTGCTGGCATTGTCACCTTCGCCACGCAACCCTCAGCCAATCGGAGGCCTCCCCAGCTGTCCGGCGGTGCTGCGAATGGCTGCAGAAGGCGTGAAGGCCGTACGGGACTGCCAGCTGACCGGCAGCCCTGGAATCGGGCCATCTGGGCTCCCAGCTGTTCGGTGGTGCTGTGTTCGCCGGCGGTGCTTCTGTCGGTGGTGGTCCGTGCGCTGCTGCTTTCAGTTTCCTCCTTCCCTTGAATGTCGAGCCCACGGGGCCTGACAGGCAGCTCCCTCTACCAGGGCTCCACCTAGAAGGCAAGGAGAAACATGTAAGCACTTACAAACATGTAAGCTATTGCGCACTGTTCAGCTGACCTCCTACCCGGCTTACTAGGGCACTGTCGATGGAACTTCCGCATTAACCGGGGGGGCATGGATGTCTGATTCCCCTACCCAGGATGCCTCTGTGATAGGATACCCCGTCCACCGCACTAGGTACTGTAATTGTCCCCATCGGATCCGGGAGTCCAGAATCTCCTGTACCTTGTACTGGTTCCTCTTGACAGCCCCTGGTGCCTCTCCCTTGGGCCTACAGGAGGAACCCTCCACCGGCTTCAACAGGCAACAGTGAAAGACGGTGTATGTTCCCCAAGAACCAGGGTAGCTGTAACCGTATGGTCAAGTGTACGGTTGACCTGTGTGACCTGGAATTGCCTTAGGTACTTGAGACCTAGCTTCTTACAGGATACCCTCAGTCATAGATATTTAGTCGACAGATACACCCGATCACCCACCCAAAGAGGCTTTTGGGGCCTTCGCTTCCTGTTGGCCTGTGTTTTAGTGCTCTCCTCTGCTTTCACCAAAGCACTCTTTACGTTACCCCCACCGATGTGCATTATCCAATCCTGGGGCTGGCAGGGCGAGGGGTCCCCTTGGTTTTACTCGGGGAATGGGACGAAATCCAGGCTGTGTACTACCCGAAAGGGGGCAAACCTGGTGCTGCTATGCACTGCATCGTTGTACGCTACTTCTGCGAACGGTAGTAGGTCAACCCAGTCCGTCTGCTGGTATGATACGTAGCTCTGTAGGTAGCACTCCACCGTCGTGCTTGCGCGTTCTGCTGCTCCATTGATGCTAGGGTAATACGCCGAACTGAGACCTTGAGACGACCCAATGCACCAGATAAACTCCTGCCTGAATCGAGCGGTGAATTGCACCCCCCGATCTGAGATGATCCATTGGGGCACCCCGTGTAAGCGATACACTTGTGCGATAATTTGACCAGCTTGCGGGTGGACGGCAACCCCTTACATGGGACAAAGTGGGCCTGCTTGGAGAAGAGGTCTGTGATGGTCCAGATCACGGTATAACCATGACTCTCCGGTAACTCCATAATAAAGTCCATTGTGATGTCCTCCCATGGTCGGGTTGGGTCCGCTACCGATTGTAACAACCCTACAGGCTTCCCTGTATGGGGCTTAGTGGTGGCACAAACATGGCACCCCTGAACGTAGGTCTCCATGTCTGCTTTCATGTGCAGCCACCAGAACTGACACCGCACCAGATATAGGGTTTTAAGGAACCCGAAATGTCCCGCTTGCTTTACATCATGGCACCGTCGTAACACTTCCTGCCATAGAGCCTGTGGGACATACAGCTTGTCGCCTTTCCACGCTAGGTCATCATTCCATGTCAGTAGGCCTGGATGTTCCTGTAACCAGGGGTCATCCTGGACTGCCTTGTGCAGCTCCTGGACCAGGTCGACAGCCAGGTTATGCGGTACCACCCTTGCTGCAGCTTGCCGGTAGGGGGGCATGATTGCCTGTACTACCTCCTCCCGCTTACCATCATATTGAGGCATTCGCGACAGAGCATTGGTGAGAAAGTTCTTCCTCCCTGGTACATACCTCAACCAGAAATGGAAGCATTGGAAGTACTGCGCCCAACAGATATGTTTGGGGGACAAGTGCCTCGGCGACTGCAACACCTCAAAGTTCTTATGGTCTGTCCAGACCTCAAACGGTTTCTTCTCCCCCTCTAGTAGGTGTCGCCATGTGGACAATGCCCACTGTACGGCAAACACCTCCTTCTCCCAAATGGCCCATGCCCTCTCGGTTTCCATCAGTTTCCGCGACATATAGGCACAGGGCTGTAACGCCCCCTGGCTGTTCTTTTGCAGTAACACTGCTCCCACCACGACGTCACTGGCCTCTGCCTGCACCACGACTGGAATGTCGGGACTTGGGTGGAGCAAGACTGGCTCCCTTGCAAACAGGACCTTTAGGTCCTCAAAGGCCTTTTGGTATGCAGTGGTCCACGCTAGTGGGTGACCGGGCCGTGGCTTCATTGCAGTTTGTCATGTGTGGAGCAGGTCTGTCGGGTAGAGCTACCGCTGCAAACGAGATGAATTGCCGATAAAAGTTGGCAAACCCCAGGAAACTGCAGTTGACGGCGGGTCCGTGGCACTTGCCACTCCAGCACGGCCCTGACCTTGTTAGGGTCCATTTCCACCCCTGCCCCTGATATCCTGTAGCCAAGATAGTCCAGCCGGGTTTGGTGGAATTTGCACTTAGAGAGTTTTACAAACAGGTGTGCTTTCAACAGTTTCTCCAGCACCTGTCTCACCAATCAGATGTGTTCCTCCATGGTGGAAGTGTATATTAAGATGTTATCCAGGTATACTAGCATTCCACGGTATACGTGTTCATGCAGCACCTCATTGATGAGCTGCATAAATACCATGGGGGCCCCCTGCAACCCAAACGGCATCACCCTGAACTGGTAACTACCAAGTGGGCAGTTGAAGGCTATCTTCCACTCATCCTCTCGTTTGATGCAGACCCTGTAATATGCCTCCCATAAGTCCAGCTTGGTGAACACCTTTCCATTCGCCAGATGAGCTAACAGGTCTTTCAAGAGTGGCAGGGGGTACATGTTCTCCACACAAACCCCGTTAATCCCACGGAAGTCAACACGCAATCTCAAGGAGCCGTCTTCCTTCTCTTTGAACAGAACATGAGCTGCTATCTGTGAACGGGTCGGCTGGATAAAGCCTCTCACCAGGTTCCGGTCAATATATCGACGCAACTCCTACATCTCCCTGGGCATCATCCGGGGTTTGGGCAGTTGTCGATTGCGCAGTCGGTTGGCCGGTGAGGAGGCAGGACATCACACTCCTGCTCACTGAACACCTCAGTGAGGTTGGCATACACAGTTGGAAAGGGGGGGTTCACCCTTGGTACTCTCTTGACTTGCAGTTGCCATCCTACTCCCTTCTCCACCTCCTTTCTTCGGGTCTTGGTCTGGTGGCGTTAAATACTTTCCTCCCTACAGCTCCATCCCCCTACACAGCAGGCCAGCATCCGGTGTTTGTCTTTAAAGGCAGCCAGGTTCCCCCTGGCCTGCCGTCATGTCTCTGCCGGTTGGCGTTGCACAGTGGAGCGTCGGAGCCGTTCTCTGTTCCGGTAAGCCTCCGCTTCACCCTCGGGCACCCCCACGGTCCTTGCTGGCATTGTCGCCTTCGCCATGCAGCGCTCAGCCAATCGGAGGCCTCCCAGCTATCTGGCAGTGCTGCAGAAGGCGCGGAGGCCGTACAGGACCGCAAGCTGATCGGTGGCCCTGGAACCAGGCCGATTGACCTCCCGGCTGCTCAGCAGTGCTGCGGATGGCTGCTGATGGCACGGAGGCCATATGGGACTGCCAGCTGATCAGCAGCCCCGGAATCAGGCCGACTGGCCTCCCGGCTGTTCGGCGGTGCTACATTCGCCGCCGGTGCTGCTGTCAACGGTGGTCCATGCGTTGCTGCTTTTGGTTTCCCCCCCTCGAATGTCGAGCCCACGGGGCTTGACATCTATATTCAGCATTTTTAATAGAATATATTTTATTGTTGTAAGTCACCTAGAATAAGGGTCCCCAACCCCCAGTCTGTGGACTGGCATTGGTCCTCGGCATGCCAGTGACCGGACCATGCAAACAAGCAAAGCCCATCTACAGGATGCAGGCAGCACGTAAAATCACATCCCCTTTGGTGTGCAATAAAACCTTTCTCCACAGAACCGGTCCCTGCTGCCCAAAAGGTCGGGGGCACTGACCTAGAATAACCACATGATCAGATAGATAGCAAATAAATTTAACAAATAAATACATAAATAAATAGTAGCTCAAGTTTGAACTATGAAATCCTTGGTGTTCTCTGAGCTTGGTTGTTTATCTGCAGACTTTTCATTATCTGACTAGGTAACCTAATCAGTGCTAGTGTGTGTGTGGGGGAAGTTGCTCCCTGTTAATATACAGTGGCTTGCCTTGCTAGTATTGGTGGAGATGTGGATTTCTCCTGGATATCATTTCTTGATTAAAATATTGATTTTTGCTAGGTTGTTGTTTTCTGCTTTTCTGTTCAAGCAACCCTCTACATTCACTAGCACTGATAATGAAACAACTGCAAGCAAACAGTTAAGCTCAGAGAGCACCAAAGACTCCATTTTCAGTTTGCAACAATTTTATTAAATTTTATTGAAATTTGACACAATGTTGAAGTGTTCATTTTATGCACACTTCCATAAAAATCTGTGCAGATTATATAGAGCAAGCACAACAAATAATTTTGGTGGGTAGATATTTTAAAAGCAATCATCTTGTAGGTAGTAAGACTGCTATGGTAGGCATGTTCAGAAACAAAACCTAAAATATCTGATAGATCTGGGAGTTTTAATGGTACCAGAGGAAGTATCGAATATCCCCAAAGTCACTTGCACAAATGGAGCTTCGTGCGCACTTGCCTGCTGTTCAAGCAAGTGGAGCTGCATGCGCATGCACACTCATGTACTGCTTCCACGGCTCTGTTAACAAACTTTATTGTAATCCACTGGTAGAATGTTTACCACAGCATCTTATCTATCCCAAATTATCCTAAAAGTTATAAATAGTTTATCCTGGATCAAATATCCTTGTTGGTTTCTTAATGCCATCTCTTATCAATTGTTGTTTAAATATAATTGCTTCAGTTCCAGAATAAGTCTGTCTTATATAAGTCCAAATAGAAGTGGTTACTAGTTAACTGTAATAAATCCAATGAAGGCAGGATAATGTTGCAGGATCCAATCTGGGTTGGACACCAGGACCAGAGGTTTAGTTTTCCGAGCTTTTGGATTTGTGCTGGAGCCCATCATCAGTACTCCAACAATACTCCTGATTAGCACTGCCACCTGCTCCTTGAGCAGGAGTTGTGAATCTAGGATAACCTCCAGATTATGCACCACGTCAGTCTGGGGTAGTCCACCTTATCCATGACCAAAGATGGTAATACTCTAAGAGGCAAAGGGCCTAGAGCCACTGTATCTTGCCAAAGTTCAATTTTAGCCTTTTGTTTTTCATCCATAGCTCAACAGCCTCCAGGCACTAAAAAAAGGCGATTGCAGCATCATTTAACTCCCCATGGACAGAGATGTACAGCTGAATATCATCAGCATTCTGATGATATTTTAACCATAGTGATGGATGATCTCCCCCAGCAGTTTCATGTAAATATTAACAGCAGCAGAGAAAGTACTGATCCTTGAGATTCTGCAAAACAGGGCCTGGGGATTAGACTCTTGCCCCTCATCAACACCAACTGAGAATGTCCTTGAAGAAAGAAAGTGAATCGGAGTAACACAGTGCCCTCCACTCCCAGCTCCTAGAGCCATTTCAGAAGAATACCATGATCAATAGTATCACAAGCTGCTGAGAGGTCAAGTAGATAATCCCTGTCTTGTTCCCGCCAAGACATCATAAAACATGATCAGTGCTATTTCCATCCCAAAATTGGACCTGAATCCTGACTGAAACAGATAACCATGCTATCTCCCATCCATAGGTTCATGGTTCCTACCTTAGCTAATTTTGATCATTTTAATTTAATTTTATCATAAGCCATCATGGATTTTGGATTTTCAGAAGATTTCTATATACATTTTGGGAATAATATCTGATTATGATAATCTGATTATCTATGTCCCCAGAAACAGCTCCTCAACTGTTGATGAATCTGATGATTTGAAAATGGCCCAAGATGCAGAGATCTGCTTGCTGAAGTCAGGAGAAATGATGTAAGCCCAGCTTATTTCCCTTTGTTTATTTGGAAGAAACTGCCATTGGCCAGAAGGACAATAATTTTAAACCATTGTTTCTTTTAACAACATTGATTTATAACAAATGTTCTTGCAAGTAAGAAATGAGTTTTTCACATTTTATGTGATTGGTTGGTCAAGCTTTTTTTTTGGTCTTGTTATCTTCAGGTTAAAGCTACCTCTCACAGTGGAGGAGATTTTAAAGTTTGGAGAAGGTACCAGAGAACTGTTTATTAAGTCAAGTACTTACAGCATTATTCCAATCACTGTAGACGAGACTGGCCTTACAATAAGTTGGGTGTTTTCATCAGACCCAAAGAGCATATCGTTCAGCGCAGTGTACAAGCAATCAGAAGACACCTCTCTGGATCAATGCAAAGTAAGTTAGCCCTTCATACAGAATTGTTCTTCTCCATGGAAACATTGCACATAATATAATTATGAACAAATCAATTCAACTAAGAAAATCTGTTATTTGCTACTAGAGCTACACCGTTCTAGATCTCTGTCCCAAAAATATAATTAGGCCACATGCTATAGTTTTAGTGGGGAGTAGAGTTCTAATCTGTAGATAGCAGGAAACAATACTGCCAATTTTTGTTTGGATTTGCCCTGCATGAAAAGGCTCTGGGGTTAAAAAATGTGGGGGCATTTTTGCTCTAGGTTGTCCATCCCTGTCATAAGAAGCTCTGACTGATCCATTATGCTATAAGTATCAAACAGAAGGTTGCTGAAAATCTTTTGTTCTCTATTTCCTTCTCATTACTGTATCTTTCAAATAATATTTTGGCCTTCTGAAAGGGTTTCAAAACCTGGCTCTGCTGATTGGCTTGGGGCATTCCATAATGTAGTTAGTGGGTTAAGAATCTTGAGGATTTCATTTCTACCCCATTGTACATTGGTTCCTATCTTAGCTAATTTTGTTAATTTTAATATTTAATGTTTTATATTATTTTTACTATATTGTAGGCTGCCCACAGTTGCTTGATAGTGAGATGGGTGATATATTAATTAATTAATTAATTAATCAATAGTCAACACATAGAGAAAGCATTTGGGCAGGCTGGTTAAAAGCATATTCATTCATTCATTCATTCATTCCCTAAGTTAATTTATACTGGCAAAATTCTTTCCGGCTAATATATTGATATATATTTTGCAGGTTCTTATTCCTATGACTCGCTGCAATTCTCATAAGGAAACCATCAGAGGGAATGTAAAAGTCCGAAATCCTGGAATTTACATACTTATTTTTGACAACACTTTTTCTAGGTGGGTGTGTTGGAGAACAGAGAGTATTTTTTATGGTTGTGATGTTATGGATATTTAGGAATTATCACTTACTTCATTCTGAGTGTGGAGTTAATATAGAAATTGTGTTCCTCTAAAACCTACACAATTACTGTGTTTTAAATATCGAAATATTTTTCTTTTCTTGATTACAGTCAAAATTATTTCATTTTTTTTTAAATTGTTGATGCTTTAATTATTCCTCTTTAGTTTTAAAATATCCTTTTATTTAGCTTCTTATTACTGTTTTATATATTATGATATTCTATTGAATGAGGTAATTTTGCCATAAAGAAAAAAAAATAGCCATCCATTGTGTGGCTAGGGTCACATTGATCCAATTCAGAGGAAGAGATTTGAACTTTATTTGGTTGTAGTTGTTTAGTTCTTTTTAAGCAAGACAGTTGTTAAATGAATTTTGCCTCTTTTGCCATAGCTGTTAAGTAAATCACTGCAGTTGTTAAGTTAGTAACATGGTTATATGGTTGTTAAGTAAATCTGGCTTCCTTGTTGACTTTGCTAGTCAGAAGGTCTCAAAAGTTGATCACATGACACTGGACACTTCAACCGTCATAAATACATGCCAGTTGCCAAAGATCTGAATTTTTAATCGTGGGGATGCTGCAACGTGTGTGAAAAACAGTCATAAATCACTTTTTTCAGTGCCGTTGTAACTTAGAACAGTCACTTAATGATTGTAAGACAAGGACTACCTGTAATTGCATGCTCCATTGTTTCTCCATAAAATTAATGATCTTAATTTTACATTTTCATTTTGACTAATTTTCTTATGTTGTTTTTCTTACAGATTTATCTCAAAAAAAGTTTTTTTCCACCTATCTGTTCAACGGCCAGTGATTTATGATGGAAGTGATTTTCCATAGTTCTTCCTGTATGATATATCTTGCAAGAAATACTATTATTTTTGTATGAGTGTGTTTGTGTGTGCGCGTCTGTGTGTACATGTGTATGTGTATGTGTGTCTGTGTGTACGCATACAGACACACACACATATACATATGAAGCACCAAAATCACAGAAGGATATAAAATCTTCCAAGATTTATGCAATAATTCAGAAATATATATTTAAATACATGCATGAGAAAAAAGCATAGCTTTTATGAGAGCAATAATGATTCTACACTGTGTGCCAGTTATTCAAAAGCCATTTTGTTTATTAAACAGACAAAATAGTTATATTCTGCTGCATTTGATACCAAAAAATTTATTAAAAAGCTAAGAATAGGAAATTTATTTTTCAATTTAGAAGATTTAACATATGTATAACACTAATTATTGTTAGTTATATTGAGTCAGCAACAGACAGACAGACAACTAGAAAATCAGTTTTGCATAAACATTAACACTGATAAAGCTTTAAGTCCCCTGCCTGATCATGCTATACAATTACCATGAAGTAAAATAAAACATCTGGTGCAAGCTACTCTTTTATCTAAACAAGTTATAGCCATACCAACATGTTACACAGACTTTGGTCCAGAAAAAAAATCCTAAAAAATATATTTACTTTTACAGTTTATATTATTTTTTATCATATGAGTGACATGTTTGTGAAAGATAAGCAATATAAATGGAATTGTTACTGCTCAGACATAGACTTTACAAGTTTTGAATATTTTCTCTTGAAGATGCTGAATGCAGGCTTAAAGGAAAATTTGAAACAAGGAGCAGAAGATGCATTTAGTTAAGCAATACTTTACTCCAGCCTTTTCCAATTAATGTTGAGTATTTTAAATTCCCAGTTCCCAGATACAGCACTTGGATTTCCCTATATCTGCTGACTTTTTTAAAAAATAGTATTTATGATGGACAACAAAGGTAGATTTCTAGTTGGCAGAAAAGATGCTAAATTATGTATGGCATGGATAATACTATAACATACAGCTATATTGTTATCATGCCATCCTTTAGACTTTATCTGGTGGAAACACCATCATGCTAGAAATTATTCTTTTTGCACTCTCTACAAATTAGCTTGAACTTTAAGTTCAACCAGTTCAACACTAGGATATGAGCAATAGGGCTTAGCTGCTTGATATTATTACAGAATACTGTGCAGGTTTGGTTAATGGATTTCTTTGTTGAATGTTGTTATGTGCTAAAAGCATATTTTATTTTGAGTTGAGTAGCAATAAGGATTTAATGCTAAAATCTGGGATGTTGTTTGCCATGGATTGTGCAATATCAAATGGATTTTGAACTAAAATCCCATAATATATTAATAATGAGTATTCTCAGTCTATTTTACTGTAGAAATTTAATAGAATACTTATCTTTTTTCAAACATTGGTTTATTTCATGTATAAAAGTAACATAAAAAGGATGCTGTCAAATATACAAAAAATGTATTAAATATATATTATTGATAAAGATGTGTCTGAGTGATTTATCTCTAGTGTATTAATTATAATTCTTCAAGTCCTTATCTATACAAACAAAACAACATCCTATGCCCATCATGAACAAACGTCCACAAAAAGGTAAAGGAGTTCCTGTGGATATTACCTTGCTAGTCGTTGCCAATTAAGGGGGCGGTGCTCATATCCATTTCAAGGCCATTGAGCCTGTCTGAATCTCTATTTCCCTAATCATGTGGCCAACATGAAGCGCTGTGCCTATTTATCTACTTACATTTCTTTGCTTTCAAACTGCTAAGTTAGAAGGAGCTGGGATGGGGACAGGAGCTCACCCAATCATGTGGAGCTTGGATCTTAAACCTGGACTACCAGCTTTGCAGCTGACAAACCCAGTGTCTTAAACACTGAGCCACTGCATTTCCCTTAAAAACAAACAACAAATGTCTCGTAAAGAAGGACATTTATTAGAGGATTTTTTTAAAAAAAAAAAATTAAACTTCTCAGAATTCAATCTGAAAAATTGGGGGGACAGAGAGAAGTTAATATGACATAAGAATACTCACAATCTTTTTTAAAAAAATATGTTTTATTAATTTTTAACATACACCTTAATATTTGGTAAACGTGTTGTCTGGGTTAATGTTTAAAAAGCAATAACAATTAATTTCTATAATTCTATAGTCCATACAGTGGCTTTACTTGATTTCCTCTTCTTCCAATAATATTCTCTTTTGCCAATCTTAAATTAATAAAGTTCTTATTTAAGACCATATAATATGGCTGATAGATGGCTCACCAAAAAGGTAGAGGTGACCCAAAATAAAAGATTAATTTGGGCCAAAGTTGATACTAAGGCAATACTAGAATGCCTTAAAACAGAGAATGCTACTAAGTGGGCTAGAACAATCCAGTCATCTTCTACTGACTGGATGTCAGCCTTCAATGCATTCTCTAATCTNTCCCAGGGGAATTTTTTGATAACCATCCCCAGTGGCTCTCGAGAGACTGCAAAAGTAATGCTGCTGGCCTGCTCCTAGTCTCCTTAATTTTTAAGGGTAATCTCCAAATTCTGGGAGGTAAGGATAAGAATTACACATATCCCTACACATACCACTCTGCCAATTCAAGCAGTGTACTGGATCTCTTTTGTGTGTCTAGAGATAAAGTTGACCTCTTTTCTGAGGTCACAGTACACCTTAGTGATAATAGCGACCACCAGCCTGTAAGCGTGACACTGCAAGGTCCCTCAGATTTAAGACCATATAATATGGCTGATAGATGGCTCACCAAAAAGGTAGAGGTGACCCAAAATAAAAGATTAATTTGGGCCAAAGTTGATACTAAGGCAATACTAGAATGCCTTAAAACAGAGAATGCTACTAAGTGGGCTAGAACAATCCAGTCATCTTCTACTGACTGGATGTCAGCCTTCAATGCATTCTCCAATCTCTGTAACATTCTGAAGAAACATCTAACAACTAAACCTCCTACAAAAAGAGCCCAAGTAGGTAGACCTTGCTAGTTTGATCCTGAATGCCAGCGACTGAAAAAGAAATTGAAGGCAGCCATGAGGCTTGCCCAGAGGAATCCTACTGCCCATGTACAAGCTAAGATGTTGCACACAAGAAGGGAATATAAAAAACTATAACATTAAAGAAAAAAAGCTTTGCCATTTCAATCTGGTCAGAACTCGAATTGGCTGCCAGAAGTCATAACTCAGTAATATTTTGGCATTCTGTAGCAGGTATCCTGAAGGAGCGGAGATTTGTGTTTGACATACCAATCTCTGCCAAGGACTGGGAGAATTATTATCAGTGTTTGTTTGCTTCCATGGAATCGGTAGAGAAATTGTCTCTAAGAAATGATTTAGTAAACTCTAGAAATTCCCCCTCTTGGCCATCAGTCTCAGAAAAGGAGATACAATCCATCATCAAAAGTTTAAAGAGCAATAAAGCCCCAGGTGAGGATTTTTTACCAGCAGAATTATTCAAGAAATTTCCCAATTGGTGGGGCCCTGTATTGGCAGATCTTTTTACACACATACTGTAAATAACACCTGCCATATACCAGATGGGTGGAAGATGGCAATAGTTGTCCCCATATATAAAAAAGGGAATAATAAGGACCCTAGTAATTATAGGCCCATCAGCCTGATTGATATTGCAGCAAAAATATATGCTAGGTACCTTTTGAACAGAATTGAAATCTGGGTAGAGGAAAACAATATCCTCACAGAAGAACAAGCAGGTTTTAGACAAAGCCGATCTACTATTGATAA